CTGGTGAGAAAAAAAAGTGTGGGGAGTGACTGCTAATAGGAATGAGGTTTCTTTTTTGAAGTAAGAATACATTAAATACCACTGATTCATACACTAATTAAAGGGTAAACTTTGTGGTATGTAAATTATGTTTCACTAAAACTTAAAAAAGGTATTCTCAAAACAAGAATTCTTGCTCAAAACCTCAGAATTGTGAAGCTAATGTAATATGTCTTTGATATGTTAAGTGGCAAAAGGGATATTATATAGATGAGACCAGTCACAAAACACTTTAAAACATGCTGTTAACAAAACATTAGATTCAAAAAATGAAAAACATTTTTTATGCTATTGCTTACTCAAAGATGAGTGAGACCACATGACAGGGAATACAGTAGTATCTTGGTACTTACTGTAATTGGTTCCAAGCGTAATAAATACCAAAAATGAAGAGTATCAAACAGATTTCTTAGCTGGAAAGTGTAGCTGGTCCCAAGGCATTCCACACTGGTAAGTTCTAGCATTCAAGTATAGTACTGAACAAACTATAGGAGAAAGCTGTCACATCAGGATTTGTCAAGTATCAAACTTGGTGCGTTTCAAAGCAGTCAAGTACCAAGGTGAGACTGTACAAGTGTCTCTGGAAGCTCAGACTGGCCCCAACTGACAGTAACTAGAGACCTCACTCCTACAGCCCTAACAAATTCTGTCCAAAACAGGAGTGGGCTTACAAGATGACCTCAAGCTCCAAATGTAAACAGAACAGCTGATAGTTGAGCATTGTGAGAAGCTGGTAGGTCAGTGATTTCAGCTTGAGAGGAATAATCAGTCATGCTGTGCCAGGCCTCTGAGCTCCATAACAGACCTAATGAAAAGGTTAAAGCTGGTAATTCATGGTAATTGTTTAGCAATAGAAAACCAATGCGTTCTCCCTTTGAATAGTCTTATCTAGCCACAAAATATCTAAGTTATATTTTCTCCTCTGGCTCATAAAAACTTACATCTTTCATCCAAAGCCTCATATTTTTGTCTGGCTTTGTGGCCACAGCTCTTAATTTATGTAAATGACAACTTCCGGCCTTTCCCATCTTGGCAAGTCACCTTCTCTGAGCTCACAAACCCCAACTATTTGTGTTTGTCAGCATTCTTTGTGGCAAACCATAGGATGCATTCTAGATTAAAGCTAGAAATTCACTTTAGCTAGGTAAGGCAGAAAGGGGTTAATTAAGGGCCATTAGCCTACAAAATCATTGGGAGAGCCAAGGAAAGCAAACTATAATGAGAACTTTAATGCATAAAAGAGATGTTAAGTAGGAAATACATACAGCTTAATGTAAAAAAGCTGGGTGATTAGAAAATTGCTGTTGTACTGCAACACCCAACCCTGTGAGGTCAAAACACCTCTAAAATTATGCTTGTAAGAAGAGCCAGTCTTTCCATTTGCCTTCTACCTCACCTGCTTCTTTTTCCAAATTTTTTGAGAGTAGGTTCTTTAACTCTGGTCCCTGTGGTCAGTATCACCTAGTTTAATGCATGATTATATGTTATCTTGAAGTATTCATGTTTTTACATTTTTTTAAAGTAACAATACATTTCTTGAGACAGTATCTTCTACTTAAATTCTTAATATTTGGCCATAATTTCCTGAAGATAACATATCAGGTCCTCATTAAGTACTGTAGATGTTGCTGACTCAGACTTTTTTGACTTAAAGCATGTTCTGGTTATCTATTACATAGCAGCTTGGAACAATGACTAACTCTCCTAGTTCTGTGGATTAACTGGGTTTAGCTAGGGTTCTGCTAATTTTCAACCTCTCAACTATTTGTAGTTAGATAGCATCTGGGACTAGAATTATGTGATGGCCTCTGTAGTCACATGTCTGGCTCTCTCAGCGCTCCTCAATATGGCTTCTCTCAGAACAGTAGCTTTAATTTATTATGTAATGGCTTGGGACTCAGAGGAAAGGGGAAATTGCCAGCTCTATAGAAGTTTTAAGTCCAACACTAGCACAGCATATATCCTTACCATATTTTATTGGTCAGAGGAGTTTGAGGCTAACTTCAAATTAAAGGGTGTGGAGAAACAGACTTCACCTCTCAATGGAGAAATGGAATGGGCATATGAGGAAGGAAGAAGTTGATAGCAGCCAACTTCGGAATAAACTACTAGAGAGAATAATTGTGCGTGTGTGTGTGTGTGTGTGTGTGTGTGTCCTCTTATACACTAGAGTGCTCTGAAGGTGGGACCGGACATCAGTATGTAACCAGCTGGATCATTGGAAAAGAATTCTGTATTCTGAACTAGTGCACATGAGGTAGTAAGTTGCTAAGACTGATGAAAGCTAGACTACATTTCCATAGAATAATTTCTAAAGAGCTAAGCCAGGGAATGTGCAGCAACATTTGCACATAACTTTTTCTCCATTAAACCTATCCTTGAGTGTCAGAGAACTGACTTTGTGGCTTAACCTCTGAGCCTTAATGTTCTTATCAGTAACATGATGGGCTGGGAATGTAGCTCAGTGATAGAATACTTCTCTGGCATACACAAGGCTCTAGGTTCAAGCGCCAGCACTACATACATACATACATATATCTTACTGTCTGATTATTCACTGTCTTGGCTTTAGTAGAACAATGTCAAATGGAACCAATCTTGAAGGGACAGATAGCATCTCCCATCTTTAATCAGGGACATAGCAAAGATTCATCCAAACCTAATGGCTTGATGCTCCAAGTGTTTTTTCACAAGAGCACTTTGCTTCCTATGTCTTACAGAGAATATTAAACACAAGGTAAAAAAATTTTGTGTGTAATTATCTAGTACTTTTCATTTTTCCAAAGCACTTTTATTGCTGCTTCTCCCACCAAGGGATGAAATACTCTATTTTACTGAAGGCAAAAAGGAGTGAAGATTCATTTCAGACAACAATTCAATATATAAAGACCAGATCAGGTGGATTTAAAAATTCTTAATTGTTATATTGCTGAACCCCAAGATATGAATGTTCTAGTAACTTAGAGGAAACTTTATATGCATAGAAATTGTACTGTGTAATCAGAATCCATTAACCATATAAAACTAGAAGTCTGCAATATTTCTAGAGAGTTTTTAAATTAATAAATTTTCTTTACAGTTGCCTAGGCCTCCTAGTAAATAACCAATATACAGATCAATGTAAAATATAATTAAGTACAAACATACACAGGGCAGAACCTGCATGAGATTAAATAGGTGTATCAGGAAAATCAGAGATTAGTGTGAGCTGAAGTAATGACAGTAGGAGGTAGAACTTGAAGCTAGCCTTAAGTAGGAGTAAGACTTGGGTAGATAGAAACATGAGATCATATGGGTATATGTATTAGGAACAGGGTACAGCATAACTAAATATGAGTACAGATTTGGGTTTTGAGAAGTTGCAGGAATTGACACAATAAGGAAACAGACACTATTGAAGCATAGGATTTGGGCTATGGAAGAAAGTAAATCGAGCAAATATAGTAAATCCTGTCTTCCAGAAAAAAAAAAAAAAAAGGAGACCTAA